CTGCATCCACTCCTGATCGCTTGGCTCGACCCTCCCATCCTGGAGGGTTTAGGTGGCCGCCCAGGTCTCCTGGCCTCTTAGCTGCCCAGCTAGCCCCTGCTGGCTCTCTCTGGTCCCTGAGGGTGCAGATGGCTCTCGTTCCGGGGCTGCAAACAGAAAGGTGGGAGGGTCAAGGCCTCCCAGAAGTCCCTCAGAAGAAAGGCCTGGCAACCCACGTCTGGGACCTCAGCCAGCAGAAACCCTCTGGAGGGAGCCCTGCACAGGCGCCCGGGGGTGGGGGTAGGGGACGGGGGGTTCCAAGTCGCCTTGAAGACAGCTGGTTTGGGTTAGAAACATTCTGTGGTGGCGGTTGTTTACATACTGAAATACCAGGGGGCTGCAGCAGGTTAGAGGATGGAATCCATTCTCCCTGGATGCCACTTTTCCATGAACTTTTCGAAGCTCCCTTGTGTTGATAGTCTAATGAGCTACATCGGAGGAAGCCATGGTATCTCAGCGGCTCAGCACTGGACTCCTAACAGAACCCATGAGCCTCTAAGTGCGAGGAAGACACACCTCTCTGGGTCTCTGCCTCGTTGGTAGCAGGGGGCCTGTGACTAGAGCCAGCTCCCACCCCACTCATCCATCTCAAGAAAGACCCCAACTCACCCCAGTGGCTCGACTTTCAGCCCCAAGATGGAGAAGCCTAGATGAGGAGCCAATGAGGGGGTGTTGTGGTTAGGCATTAGGCTGCAAACCACAAGGTCAGCAGTTCAAAACCACCAGCCACTCCCAGGGAGAACAATGAGACTTTCTACCCCTGTAAAGAGTGGCAGTCTGGGAAACTCACAGGGGCAGTTCTACCCTCTCCTATAGGGTCACTGTGAGTCCGTTTTGACTCGCTGGCTGTCAGTTTGGGTTTTGAGTTGATATGGTGAACGGTCAACCAGGGAGCCTGTGCCCCTTGGAATAATCAACCTCTGGAGATCGAGGGGCAGCCTTTGCCCAGGGGTAAAGTTTAAAGGCCGGAAGTGGGTAGGAAAGGAGGAGGAAGGGAAACAGCAGCATTCTTTCACACTGTACCTTTTTCTGTAGTAGAGACATTGGGAGAAGCTGGCCCCACCCCTGCCTGCCCTACCTTTGGGCTATGATTCAGCTCACCTGTGACCCGCCTGTCCCTGCAGTGGCTACGGTTGCTGGGATCACTACTACGAGTCAGACACACTCTTGCATTCGTTCCAAGTCTTGGCAGCCCTGCTGGCCTCTCCTGTCACTCAGGATATCATCTGTGACGTGGGCATGTAAGTGTCAGGGTATGGGACGAAGGGGGAGGCCAGCTGCTCGGAGGGAGGAACATGAAGCTGGTGGGTTTCAACCACCAACGTTTTGGTTAGCAGGGCACTGCCTACCCAGCAGCAGCAGCAGTAGCAGCAATACACCCACACACATTATTTTGTTTTTTAAAATACAGTGTGTCTTTTAGAATAGCCTGGGGTTTCCAAATTGTACAGAGAGCACAGTGTTCCCTGAACTTCCAGTATCCTGTTGATACATGTGTTACAATTGATGGACCTGTCTTAATACATAAAGGTCTTGGTTAATATAAGGCCTCTAGTTAATAACAATGTAACCTGGCCTTCTGTTAATTTTTATAGCTAATATGATATTATTAACAGAAGGCCATAGTTCCATTGTTATTAACAGAAGATCATGATTGCATTATTAACAGATGGACATGGTTTCATTGTTATTAACAAAAGGCCACGGCTTTATTGTGATTAGCAGAAGGCCATGGTTGCATGGCTATTGATAGACGGCCACGCTACATTGTTATTACTAAGGTCCCTGTTTCAGGGGAGAGTACACACTCTGTGCTGAATGGAACTTCACAGGCACACCATGTCCGGTGGTCTCCATGACAGCGTCCTGCAGACAGTCACTGCTCCAACCATGCCCTGTGCCCACCTCTCCGCCCCTCCCTCCCTGCATGCTGGCAGCCACTGGCATGCCCCCTGCTCTGGAGTGGGTCGCTTTCCCAAGCCTGCTCCTTTCGCCGGCAGCAGGTCTGGCCTGCTCGGCTACCTTTGTGACGGGATCACAATCCACTGTGTGGGTTGTGCTTTCCAACGAGGAAGCAGTGTGGGTTTCCAACGCCACCCCCTTTCCCTCTCCCCCGCAGGCCCGTGATGCACAGGAACGTCCGATACAACTGTAGGGTCATCTTTCTCAACAGGTGAGTCACACCCCCCATCCCCCCACACACATCCACCCTGCTCCAGAGAGGCCAGTGGGAGCGTCTCTCGGCTGCCTCCACTCACCAGGGTCTCTGCTGGAGGCCTGTGGGAGCTTGTACT